CAGCCTGCAGCCCCAAGTGCAGGGGCAAATAGGTCCATGCAGGAGCCATGGTGGTCAGTGTAGCTCTTCCAGAGGTCGTCGGAGCTGGTGGTACTGGAGGTGCTGGAGCTGGAGGTGCTGGAGGTGCTGGAGCTGCTGACGGTACGGGTACTGCGCCGCACCGACCGTTTTTCTACCCGCAGCCGCAGTCGTCCCTACCACCGCCTGACTCAGCACTTCGTCACAGCCGCAGTTACTGCCTGGCTCTCCATTGCCTGCTCCTTCTCCCTACCCTGCACTGAGCTAGTCGAGTTTGCTGCTACCCGTCGTCTTGACTACGTCGCGAGTCTTGTTACTGAGTCTGAGTCTATCTGTCCTCCGTCCGTAGGGGGTGAGCTTGCCCTTGACTGTGACATCCTTGAGGACAGGCAGTTTGAGCTCGAGTGTCTCGCGGTTGTTTTACCTCGTTTCGTGTCCATGCTGCTTTGCCCTGAGGGACCCGGATGCACTGGACATCCCCACCCTGCGCTCTTACGCAGAGGAGATCACGGGTGAGTACTCCTCTCAGTGTCAGACAGCCATGGACGAAGAGGCGGCTTCCTGGAAATCCACAGGCACCTACGTCGACGAGGTTCCCCCTCCTGGGGCGAACATAGTCGATGGCATGTGGATTTTTAGAGTGAAGCGGCCGCCGGGTTCTCCGCCTGCCTTCAAGGCACGTTACGTTGCTCGAGGCTTCAGTCAGCGACAGGGGGTCGACTTCTTCCATACCTTCTCCCCCACCCCAAAGATGACCACTCTTCGGGTGTTACTGCACGTTGCGGCACAGCGTGACTACGAGCTGCACTCCCTCGACTTCTCCACAGTTTTTTTGCAGGGCAGCCTTCACGAGGAGATCTGGCTGCGCCGCCCACCTGGCTTCACTGGGTCGTTTCCTGCGGGTACCCAGTGGATTCTCCGGCGGCCAGTCTACGGTCTCCTCCAGGCGCCCCACGAGTGGCGCGACACATTAAGGACGACACTTGCGGGTCTTGGGTTTGCTCCTTCGACTGCTGGCCCATCGCTGTTTCTGCGCACCGACCCTACTCTGCCGTTCTACGTTCTCGTGTACGTCGACGGCTTGGTCTTTGCTACTGCCGACACTGAGGCGCTGACCCTTGTGAAGGCGGAGCTGCAGAAGAGATACACCTACACTGACCTGGGTGAGCTGCGTAGCTATCTTGGCTTGCAGATCACCCGGGACATAGCACGGCGCACCATCACTTTGACTCAGTCACACATGGTGCACCAGGTCCTTCAGCGCTTCGGCTTTCAGTTCTCATCGCCGCAGCGCACTCCTCTGCCTACAGGCCACTCGCTCTCAGCTCCACCTTCGGACGAGTCCGAAGAGCCGAGTGGCCCATATCCAGAGCTTTTGGGCTGCCTCATGTACCTGATGACGTGCACACGACCTGACCTCGCGTACCCTCTCAGCATCCTTGCTCGCTTCGTCGCGCCCGGGCGACACAGGAAGGAGCACTGGACAGCTGCGCAGAGGGTACTGCGTTACTTGTCCAATACATTGGGCATGGGGCTCGTGCTTGGAGGACGGGGTTCAGTGGTACTCCCAGGACTCCGACGCTTCTTGGGCCGATGACCAGGCGACTCAACGGTCGTCACAGGTGTTATGTGATGCTATCATTTGCATTCACGTCTGTCTGCCTCCCATCTTATGTTTGTGCGTTGCATACGCGGTGTGAGCGTGTGCAAGAATTTGTATTTTGTGTGGTTTGGGTATTCTGAGTGTGTGTGTGTGTGTATGTGTGAATGTTATTTGGCTTGAGCAGATATCCGAAGTGACTCCTCTGCTCAGGAGCTTTCCGACAAACCAAGAATCGCCGCGATCGGAGCAAGAACGAGAAAGATATGATCGTTCGAAGTTTTGATTGAGATGCGGCGACTACGGGAATTTGGGGGGTGACTCCATAAGGGGTATAGACATTTGGGGGTTGAGAAATTCGTCACTTCTACTGTAGATGCTGCCAAGTGGTTGGGAGAAACCAAATTGGGTTGGCAAGTGTGGCCAACTTGGGTGAGGTGGATTTGGGAGGTTGGGAAAATGACAAGGGTGAAAGTTGGGTTACTATAGCGAGGGAATCTTTTGTGCTTATGGGGTTTCCTTGGTTGGGGACTCCGTTGGGTTGTGATTGAGTTAAGTTTCTATGGCAGCATACCCCCTAGTGCGCCAAAATTCATACCTCGAGTTATACTCCATCTTTTGATACGATTCAAATGGGGAAAGATAGCCACGATCAAGGGCTAGAACATACTCGAGTTTGAGAGGATTCAAACGGTGCATTTTTTTGTCGACGGCGTGTCTTGTGAAGTCGACTGTCGACGGCGTGTCTTGTGAAGTCGACAATTCTGTCCAGAATTCTAAGCCAACGATTTTGAAAAATTTAGGCCCCTAATCTTCCTAGACTCCGTCCTTAGTCTCTAACAACAGGTTACTCTTTCAGTCTCGGCTCTGGTTCAGTATTGTGGAGGTCCACTCGTTCGTCTTCTGTGCTTGGTTCCAGCTGTGAGGCCGAGATCTACGCTGCGGCCATGGCTGCACAGGAGTTACGCTGACTGACCTACCTGCTGACCGACTTGGGTGAGCGGCCTCGTTCTCCCCCAGTTCTGTACGTCGACAACAAGGCCATGATTTCCTTGTGTCAGGAGCAGAGACTGGAGCACAGAATGATGCACATTGCTCTTCGTTACTTTCATGCTCGGGAGCTGCAACAGCGTGGACAGCTGCGCCTTGCTTACGTGGCCTCTCGGGCCAACACTGCTGATGTCTTCACCAAGGCTCTTGTGCCTGGTGATCATCACCGTTTCTGCACTGCTTTAGGCCTTGTGCCTACTCTGCCTCACCTGCTGGTTGCTTGACTTGTCTTGTCCTGTGATCTATATATACATATATATCTGCATGCTTGCTCTTGCTAGGTTGTGATCACTGTACTGCTTGTGCTTTTATAACTCTGCATGTGAAGGCCTTGTGGCCGCTTGCTTGTGCTCAGAATGCATGGTGATCTTGAGATCCACCATGAGCTTTGCTTTGCTTTGTTCTCTTGCTTGACTGGTCTTGTGACCGTTGGTTGTGTTTGCTATCCCCCACTTTGCCTATGGGGGTGTGTTAAATTGCTTTGTATGTCTCTAGGCTGTAGTGGGGCATACTCTAAGGGGTACAACACTTTAGGTCAACCCTATTTGTATCACCCTACTGCATAATCCATTCATCCTTGCACGTTATTCTTGACTAGCCATGTCATCCATTTGTGTTGAGTAGCCCTGTCATCGCTCAGACCGAAACAATACTGCATTCATTTCCAACACTGAGCTAGGAAGGCAAAGCTCGAGGAGAAAAGGGTGTGGGAGAACGCTGGCCGAAGAATAATCATGGGCTGACTGATTGATGGATGGATAGCAAGATGAGTGGAGGAGGGAGGGAGATTGTCACGTGCGTGATGAGCGGTATTTTATGAGGGCGTGTTAAGTACCGCGCCAATCTTTCACATTTTGAGACCACGCGGGGCTTGTGTTCATTGTCGACCTGAGGAAACAGAACGGCTATGCGGTAAGCAGATTCGGGGTGACTTGAAATGTTTCATGCTGTAAACACGTCCTTCTGAGTGTTATTATATTTTTCTTAGCACCTTACCTGAATGGGGAAGGCGCAAAGTGCCTTGGCGGTCGAATCTTTTCAAGTTGGTGGGGATTTCATCTGGTTGCTCAGCGCTTATTGGTTCCAGACCCGCTCGAAATCCGCAAGGATCAGTGGTTATGTGGCCAAGCTTGTGCACAGCAAACCGCAGTTTCGAACAAAACGTAGCATGTGATTACTTATCTTAGCGCGATTGTTCTGCTGTCCCCAACCTTACGTCTCTTACGGGTTTCGTATATGACGTATAGTACCCTATCTTCCATTCGCACCACCTTTGTCTGATCAACTTGTCATGAGTCATTTCCCGCCAACCCTTCTGTACTCTGCTTCTGCAGAGCAACATCATCTACAATCAGTCTGGTACGGTTTAGTACGGTACTGGACTTTAAAAGTTAGTCTTCGTACGGTTTAGTAGTGCAGATTTTCGTTCACACCTTTCCAACTAGATTCATTTGATGCATTACATTCTAAAGTAGCAGTATACATTTGACAGTACTGTTTGTTTTATACAGTGTGCAAAGGCGATTTCGCAGCAACGAGAAAAAAACAGGTTGGCGAGAGTGTTGGCGAAAAGTTGAAGCCTGTTGTGAGGGAGCCAGGGTTGGGTAGGTTGTCAGCCGCAAATTGGGAAATTCTCCCATTACCAAACTCACCTTGCCACGCTCACACACTTGGGTGAATAAGAGAGTAATAAATAATATAGTAGGTAGAACGAACCAAGGAGTGGCGAGGCGAGTGCTAGACCAGTATCGCGACCACACACATAGTTGCGGGTGAGTAATTATCCATGTGCATTACAGGCGACGCCTAAAAAACGACCAGCAAAAGCTCCAGGCCTTTCCCCGTGCACCTATACTCCGCCGCATGCATTCGGACGATTGGCGCAGAGGCATTCGGGTCACTCCACCGTGGCGCTTACGGCGCACCCGTTGTAACCTAGCTTAAATAAACACGTTTGACGAGGGTAGGGGAGTTTGCACTCCACTCCTCCGCCAGCCAGCCGCCCCGTCGCCCTTAGCCAGAATCAGTGCGCGCATAAGCATTCGGCTGTGCATCAGCTCGCCCGCTCCCCTCAAGTCTTGAACGCAGGGATGCATTCATTGCGTGCCAGCACAGGCGCGTCAGCATTGCGTGCTCAGAGCAGCGCACGCCAGCATAATGCGCGCAGCAAAGCGGCACGCGCCTGCATAGCGCGCTCGCCAGCACAACGAGTGCTAGTGACGCCTCGCGTTCGCCCAGCCGCAATCCCGGCTTCGCGCGTATACGAAGACGCGCTCGTGCCGTCTCGTGCGCCCAGACACATTCGCGACGTCGCCGTCGCGCCGCTGCATAGATGCCGCATTCCCCCTGCCGCAACCCCCCTTCTGCATTCCCCATACCGCATCCCCGATTCCGCATCCCCCCTGCCGCATTCCCCCTGCCGCAATCCCCTAGACGCATTCCCCTTGCCGCGTTCCCCCTTCTGCATTCCCCTTTCCTCAATCCCCCTTCCGCATTCCCCTGCATGCCTCATACTCACCCCCTCGTGCTCCCTGCCTCATACCTCCCTCTCCTCCCTCCCTTGTGCTCCTCCGCCCCCACTTCCCTCTCCTCCCTCCCTTTGCGCCCCACCAGGTGCGCGACGCCATTCACAGGGGCCCGGTAGTTGGCACTGCCTCGTCTGCACCCCTCCCCCACCTCCGCTTCCTCATGCTGCTCTGGCAAGGTGAGGCCTTACCACCCTGACAAGGTGTGACTACCTTGTCTATCAATTGACTGAGTTTAGGGTGGGGATTCATCACCCACTCTTGTTGTGCTGCACATTCACGATTGCTCCCTGGTTGTAGCAGCATCTGTGGTCACTCTCTCCTTCGCTCGCCATCTATTAGTGTACAACTTTCGCGGACGGCCTGCTGACTGGCTATGAGAGCTTCAGAGAGGTCTGCTTCTCGCCCTCTCTTGCAATATTGCACTGACAAGGTGAGAAAGGGTTTTCACCACACTCACCAGTGCGGGCTGTCCCTTACGTGCCATTGGAAAGCGCCTCTGTTCTGAGATTCTCTGTCACAGTCTCTCTGTATTCCCCTTCTCTCCTCCCCTGTCCCATCTCTCCTCCTCTGTCCCATCTCTCCTCCCCTGTCCCATCTCTCCATCTCCCCATCTTTCCTTCCCCCCTCTGTACCCCCTCAGTACCCCCTCTCATTTCCGTCATTTCCCCCTCTGCTCCTCATTTCGGCCGCAGCTTATACTAAGGGGGCTCATTTCCCCCTTAGTGATTCCCATTTCCCTCTATGTTTCCCCTCTTTTTCCCATATGCTTCCTCGCATATCCCCCCTTTTCCGCCCCTTCTTTTTTCATCTCCCCACCCTTCCACCGCCTCACCCCAGCCTAAGGCACAACTCCCTCACACAAGGCGCCACGTCCGCCAAGGCAAAGAGGACAAAATCAACGATTTTGCACGAGGTGAGTCAGCCTTATTCCACCCTTCCGTGCCCTGCCATTCCACCCCTGCCCTTCCCCTTCTGCCCTGCCATTCCCCCACCGCCCTTCACTACCTGCTGCGCTCTTTCCCCCATTCCCATTCCCTCCCTGCCCTGCCCTTCCCCCACTGCCCTTCCCTCTCTCCCTACCCTGCCCTCCCTTCCCCCTCATCATGCCATCAATTTCCCCCCTGCTAGCCCTCCCTTCCCCCTCATCATGCCATCTGTTGCCCCCCCTGCTAGCCCTCCCTTCCCCCTCATCATGCCATCACTCTCCCCCCTGCTAGCCCTCACTTCCCCCTCATCATGCCATCAGTCTCCCCCCTGCTAGCCCTCCCTCCCCCCTCATCATGCCATGAGTTTCCCCCCTACTAGCCCTCCCTTCCCCCTCATCATGCCATCGCTAGCCAGCCCTCGCCCATGCGGTGGGCTCCCCTCATCCCATCGGGAACAGGTCGAAAGTTATCCTGCTTCTCTGAAGCTTAGTTTGCAATGCATGCATTCATGAGGACTAAGCGAAGCCGCCTTGTATGTATGTATGAAGACATGCAACAAGGCGAAACTCCTCATCTAAGCATTCGAGAAGCTCAGGCATAATTCGGCCAGCCATGCATGAGTATGGAGCAAAAGCCTCGGAAGCAATGGGCACTTTCAACCCGATCTCTCCCAACTCAGAGTGCTAGCTTCCTAAAGAGTATTTTTTCGTGTGATCCATCTTAGATCTGTTCTTTCCTACCTTACTGTTTCACATATGCATGCATCTAGTCACGAGGAGCTAAATCTGCGATTCAAAACGAGTTTCTTCACGACCAGATGGTGCTCGAACGTCACAACTCTGGAGATACAGATCAAGGTGCTGTCCTTAGTGCGTGGGTCTCGTTTGAGTGTTGTCTTTGGTCTTTGGGTCTTGTGTGATGTCTCCATCGATTTCGTCTCAATAGTTTCTCTCGTTTGATGTTCTCTCCTCGCCGGTCTGCTCTTTATCCTTGTGCCCCTTGCGCCTCAGGGAGCCAGCGCAGCTGTCGCCTGAAGCAGATTAACGCGTACGGGAGGAGCTGCGTTGACGGGCAGTGTGTGCGAGGAGGAGGGGACGCAGCCGCAATTGAAGAGCAGCCGCACGAGGTGGAGGTGGAGGTGCCGAGGCGGATGGTGGAGTGGAACTCTGATCTTATCCACTTCCAGCTCGAAGTGGACATTTGCAGAGGTGTGTGTTGTACCATGAGAAGGACAGCTAGGACAGCAATTGAAGGTGGTCAAGCATGGGAATGGGTAATACTACATTGGAACAGGTAAAGAAAGCATGCGAACAGGTAGCAGCGTATGGGGAAGAAAAACCTTCTGGGAACAGGTAATACGACATAGGAATGGGGAAGATCGTATGGGAATGGATAATGGGATAATAACGCATGAGAACGGTTATCACCGCTTGTTGGCCATAAACACCGCTTGGGGTTTAGAAACTCCGCTTGGGGGTCAAGAACTCTGCTTGGGGGTTGTGATACCATTTGAAAATAAGATATCATGTGGTCTTTGATGGTTGCAAAATGTTTTCCTTGCAGTGTTTACCGGTCCTTATACTGTGTTTCCCATTTCCTGTGCGATAGCTTCCTTCCCAATGTAGCACGGATAATGAAATTGGAGGAGCTGGTGCTGACAGGTACCAGTGAGGCTGACAAAACCACGGCTTGGAACGGCTCAACCACGAGCTGAAGGAGGAGCTGCACGAGGTGCTTGATAAGATTGAGATGCAAAGGGGCAATGGCGAGGTGCTGTAGAGGGAGAAGGAGGAGCTTCGGGCAAAACTCGATCGTATGGAGGATCGGGTGAGGGCGGATGAATGAAGTGGAGGGCTTGTGTGTGAGTGGGGAGGAGGGGGGAGCATGGGGGGAGCAGTGGAATGGGCACTTGAAGTGGGAACCTTGTGATTGGGGAGGAAGAATATGCATTGACGATTACAATGGACCTCTCTATACCACGCCGCATCACGTTCAGGAATTGCATCCCGTCGTTTTGTGCATGCAGGCCCAGGTGAAGTGTGGAGTGGCCGAGGCCAAGATTGAAATGTTGCTGCAGCAGGTGGCAGCATCCCTTTTTTTTAGACTACTCAAAAGCTCTCTCCCCTCTATTTGCGTGCATGCAGGCCCAGGTGCAATGTGGAGTGGCCGAGGCCAAGGTTGGTATGTTGCTGCAGCAGGTGGCGGCATCCCAGCAGGCAGAGCTGGCTCTCAAGATACAAGGTGTGGAGCAGGAGGGGCAGAGGGCTGCCCTTGCCGGGGAGCTGAATGCATGCCGTGCAGAACAGGAAAGAATTGCCGCTGAACTTGGAAGAATTGCTGCTGAGAGGGACCGATTCTTTGGGGAAGCAGCACGGCTGCGCGTTGAACGGGAGGTGATGCAGAAGCAGGTGGAGGAGAAGGAGAGGGCATTGGGGCATGCAGCAATGCAGCTAGCAGCTGCTAACGAGAGAAGTGCAGCTGTGAGGGACAAAGCTGCAATGCAAGAAAGACAGCTGAGGGCAGATTTGGAAGAGGCACAAAAGCGGATGGGGGTTCTAGTGGAGGAGAAGGAGAGGGCTCTGGAAGAGCAGAAGTGTGCTTTTGAAGACGCTCTTGAGGGAGCAAGGAGGAAAGTGGTGGAGGTAGAAGATGTTGCAAGAGAGAAGGTGAGGTTGTTGGAAGATGTGAGAGAGAAGGTGAGAAAGTTAGAAGAGGAGAAGAGGACGTTGCAGGAGGCGTTTGAGGGTTTGAAGAGACAGCAGGCAGAGACGGAAGCTGCTGGGAGACAACAGGTGATGGCGTTGGAAGGGCAAAAGTGGAAATTGGAGGAGCTGGTTGTGGATTTGAAGAGAAAACATGTTGAGGCGGAAGCTGCTGGGAGAGAGAAGTTGAGGGTGTTGGAAGGGCAGAAGAGTCAGAATTCTCTGTTCAAACTCGCTGCTGTCAGAGACGTTCCCTTGTCAGTGAACTACGAATTTGAACCACAGGATTTCACTTCAGAGCTCTCGAACTCCTTCCCTACCCTCCCGAAGCCGAGCTATCCCGAACTCAATGACACCCGAGTGCGGTTCAGTGAGTTTCCACACGGTAGTTAGTGATTCACCCATTTTCATCGCTTCAAACCAGAAACAGCCGAACCGAACCGTGGTAAGTGCCGTGGAAATGAATGTGCGGGATGCTTCTGATTCAACTTCAGGTTCAAGTATCACTGAACTGAATGGGTGGGTCGTCTCCTTTCAGGCAGTGATTTCCTTTCAGGGAAGCCCATCCTGAAAGGACATGTATTCAATGACGTTCTGTTCTTGTTCCATTTACAGACTACTGCTCGCTGAGCCCTGTGCTTTCGTTGTTTGCTCTAACAATTTAGGTCATCAACTTAGGAACCACGCAACCCTTTGTATCGAATTGGCCTCGCAGCGCTTGAACTCGTTCGGCTTGACCTTTTGCTCCTAAGTTAAGTTACCTGAAGGCGAGGTTATTTGGTCGTTAATACTCCACGTCAAGCTCCTCGCTTGCGTAATATTGCCACCTGCAGCATCCGTCGATTATCCGATCCGATCCATTCAACTACATTCAACAATAACCGCCTCGATCAGTTCAACTAGTTTATTTAGACCCGTTCTGAAGACACAATGGTGATAGAACGTCACAGCTCGTTAGACCCAGATCCAGGTGTCGTCGCGAGTGCTAATTCTAACGTGCAAGTGGTTGTGCGTGTAAGACCCCCGAACAAGCGGGAAAACGATTTAGGCTACCATAAATGCATAACAGTCGATCCCAGCTCCAAACTGCTACATCTCGCGACAAGGCCTCCTTCGAAGCCTTTCTCTTTCGACTATATTGCAGACGAAGACACGCAACAGGTGACAGCTTCTATCTATTACTTCCAATTCGTGGTTGTCAATGATTCCTTAAGCATCTGATAAGTCAGACTAGCAACTGATTGACCCATGAACTGACGTTCTTTTTGTCTGTCCTCATTCTTTCCTGTTTGCAGGAGGGCATCTTCACGACAATCGGAAAGCCTATCACGGACGCATGTTTGGAAGGTTATCACTGCTGCCTACTTGCGTATGGTACGGGAACAACTAAATTTCTGTAGTTTCAGAAGTCGCTGCGGTTTCATTTGCTAAGAAAGCCTTCTTCGTTGGCTCGATAATATTGATTCGCAGGGCAAACTGGCGCAGGCAAGACCTTTACGATGGAGGGTAAGGCGGACGTTGCGTATCGTTTCGACATAAGTATGCTTCATTAATCTCAGAGTACGGCAAATCTAACGTTTTGTTCTTCTTTGGCATTCGCAGGACCGGATTGGGACAGCGAAGGGGAAGGATCCCAACGGAGCGTGGACAATCGCGGCCTCATTCCACGAATCTTGCAGTACATCTTCCAGAGACTTTCAGCTGATAAGGTACGACCCTTCTGCTTTTCATTCTTACGACGGAAACAGATATAATGCTGGTTTTTCCTTTCTTTTCTACATGTGACTTGAAGTCAATCAATATTACATAACTTCTGTTGCGTCTATGTGTGCAGGAGCTGCAGATGCTAGACTTCACTATCCGCTGCTCCTACCTGCAGATTTACAATGAGCAGGTGTCGGACCTCCTCGAGCCAGACTCAGTGAACCTGAGTAAGACCTTACTGCTCCTCCATGAAACTAGAGTCACGTTCAGTCAATTATGCACCGAACTGAAGTCGTCTGCTCATCCGTATTTGCTTGCACTGACGCGTGATTGGGTTTGACCATTTCCTTTTTTGTGCATCCGTCCATTTTCATGCGCTGTCATGCATCAGGCGTAACACATCAGCTGTCATGCATCAGCTGCCATGCATCAGCTGCCATGCATCAGCTGTCATGCATCAGCTGTCATGCATCAGCTTTTATACATCCGTCGACATGCATCAGCTGGCGTTCATCTGAATTCATGTATCAGTTGCCAAACATCAGTCATGCATTCATTCTCATGCGCTGTCATGCAGCATTCGTCATACATCAACTGCCTTGCATCAGCTTTCATGCATCATTTGTCATGAATCTGCTTCCATGTATCAGCTATAATTAATCTGCTGTCCTGCATCAGCTCTAATGCATATGTTTTCAAGTTTAAGATGGCATGCATGTGTTAGGATGCACCTGTCATCGTTAATCTGTTGGCATGCGTGCGGTGTGGCAGATGTGAGGGAGGACAAGAAGCTCGGCGTGTTCGTGGAGGGTCTGCAGGAGGTGGTGGTTTCCACGGCCGACGCCACCTACGCGCTGTTCAAGCGTGGCTCGCAGAACCGGCGCGTGGGCCAGACGGCCATGAACATGGAGAGCAGCCGCTCCCACAGCGTCTTCACTATTGTGGTGGAAACTGAGGTACAATACCAGTCTCGTGCTTTTAGTGAGCATGCTAAGATTGAATTCTGCTCCTCACATTCTAATGATCAAACCTCTTTTCTGCTGGTTTTTCTTCTTCCATGTCGCCACTGGTTTTTGTGCTTCCTGATTGCATTTCACAATCCAATGTCTGATTACTATCTCACGATCCAACGGCTACTTCTCTCATGACAGCTTTTCATCTCACGTTGAGCTTTCCCTCCTGTGTGTTTTGTTGGGCTGCAGCGGAGGGACGATGCAGGTGTGATGAAGAGGAGGACCTCACGGTTCAACTTGGTGGACCTCGCTGGCTCGGAGAGGCAGAAGCACAGCGAGGCGCAGGGGGTGCGGCTGAAAGAGGCCGGGAACATTAACAAGTCCCTCTCTGCGCTAGGAAATGTCATCAATGTAAGAAGAGGGTTATTTTGAGTGGCGGATTTGCTAAGGATTAATTCTGTTGTTGAGAATGTGAACTTCGAATGCTGACACTCTGTTTCTGGGCAGGCGCTCGTTGAAATCGCAGAGGGGAAGGATCGCCACGTGCCCTATCGAGACTCCAAGCTCACATTTCTTTTAAGTGTAAGAATCCCCTCAGCTTGACATTGCCTATTGAATAGAAATGAGTTTATCGTTCACCGTTGTGATACTTTTTGTTGGTGAAACCTGATTCTGTTTTTTCTTCATCTTCCTTTCAGGGCTCCCTGGGTGGCAACTCCAAGTGCACCTTGCTGGCGGCTGTGAGTCCGGCGAAGCGCAACGTGCATGAAACGATGTCGACGCTCAAGTTTGCGCAGCGGGCGAAGCTGATGCACAACAAGGCCGAGGTGAACGAGCTCATTATGGGCAACCCCGCCGTCATGGCCGAGGAGATCCGCCGCCTGCGCCTCGAGATTGCCGAGCTTAGAGGTATGCACGCTTTGAGGGGGCGGAGGAAGGAAATGAGTTCTGGATTGAATCAGGACGAGTTTTTGACTTTTGAGTGGAGTCTGAAGGTGTGAGGAGGCTCACACGTGCGTTGCAATAGAGGAAGCGCTCTGGATGGATCTTAAGAGAGTGACCTTTGGTTGGACCTTAACCGAATGACTTTCAACTTTTGAGTTTATTCAGGAATTGCTAACCCCGGTTCTCTTGTTGTGTGCGTGCAGCCAATGCAACAGCAGGCGCGCCCAGGCAGCCACTGCTGCCCATTTCAGGTGTGTTGCAGCCAACCCTGTCCTAGTGCGCGTACTGAGCTTGAAGTCCGTTTGGCGCCGCTATTGTTCCTTCGCGCCCTCAGTTCGTTTAGTCACTCTTTCATCGAATCAGTGCTCTCAACCGTGTGCTTTTTTGTGTGTGCGTGCTTTTGTGTCTGTGCGTGCTCTTGTGCCTGTGCGTGCTCTTGTGTCTGTGCGTGCTCTTGTGTCTGTGCGTGCTCCTGTGTCTGTGCGTGCTCTTGTGTCTGTGCGTGCTCTTGTGTCTGTGCGTGCTCTTGTGTCTGTGCGTGCTCTTGTGTCTGAGCGTGCTCTTGTGTCTGTGCGTGCTCTTGTGTCTGTGCGTGCTCTTGTGCCTGTGCGTGCTCTTGTGTCTGTGCGTGCTCTTGTGTCTGTGCGTGCTCTTGTGTCTGTGCGTGCTCTTGTGTCTGTGCGTGCTCTTGTGTCTGTGCGTGCTCTTGTGTCTGTGCGTGCTCTTGTGTCTGTGCGTGCTCTTGTGTGTGTGCGCGCTTTTGTGTGTGTGCGTGCTCTTGTCCCCCTCTACTGCAGAGAACCGGCGCACCACGCGGTCCACCACGAGGGCGCAGGAGGTGGCGAGGAAGGGCAAGAGAGTCGAGGCCGCCGAGACCCTCACGGTAGGCCTCGTGGGAGGGGCTGCTGAGGTGAGTGGGAGGGGCTGCTGAGGTGAGTGGGAGGGGCTGCTGAGGTGAGTGGGAGGGGCTGCTGAGGTGAGTGGGAGGGGCTGCTGAGGTGAGTGGGAGGGGCTGCTGAGGTGAGTGGGAGGGGCTGCTGAGGTGAGTGGGAGGGGCTGCTGAGGTGAGTGGGAGGGGCTGCTGAGGTGAGTGGGAGGGGCTGCTGAGGTGAGTGGGAGTGGCTGCTGAGGTGAGTGGGAGGGGCTGCTGAGGTGAGTGGGAGGGGCTGCTGAGGTGAGTGGGAGTGGCTGCTGAGGTGAGCGCAGGCACTGCTATCTTCTATGACAATCCGCTGTGCATCACGCTCATGTGCATCCCTGCTGTGCGTGCGTGCAGGCGCAGGCGTGGTGTGAAGCGGCGGAGGCGAAGGTGGGCCAGCAGGCGGAATCGGAGCGCACACGGGAGCTAGAGGCATGCCGGGCAGAGCTGGCAAAGAGCGCAGCTGAGATCGAGAAAGTATCAGCTGAGAAGGAGAGGGTCGCAGGGGAGGCAGCGCGGCTCCAGGCAGACCTGGAAGCGACACAGAAGATGGTGGAGAGTTTGATGGCGGAGAAGTCGAGGGCTGTCGAAGATGCGGCTGAGGCAGCAGCTGCAGGGAGGGAGAGAGAGAGGGTGTTAGAAGAGGCAGTGGAGGGGATGAGGAGAAGGCAGGTGGAGCAAGAAGAGCAGTTGAGGGCTTTGGAGGAGGCACTTGAGGAAATGCGGCAGAAGCTGGTGGAGGGGAAGGAAAAGGAGGGTGTGTTGGGTGAGCAGAAGAGAGCGTTGAGGGAGGAGCTTGAGAGGATGAAGGGCAAGCTGGTGGAGATGGAAACTGCTAGGAGAGAGAAGGTGCTGAAGCTGGAAGAGCAGATGAGAGCTTTGGGGGGGCAGCAGGTGGAGCTGGAAGGGAAGGTCCAAGCGTTGGAGAAGGAAAAGGTGCTGCTGCGGGCTGCAGCAGAGCGAGGCGCAGGAGAAGCAGCACAGCTGCGGGTAGAACTGGATGTAGCACGAAAGCAAGTGAAGGGAGTGAAGGGGGAGAGGGCGAGGGCTGAGGGACTGGCGGCAGAGGCGGCAGCTGCTGGGAGGGAGAAGGAGAGGGCGCTGGAAGTGCAGAAGAGGGCTTTGGAGGAGGTGCTAGAGGAGATGCGGCGAAAGCAGGTGGAGATGGAAGTTGCTGGGAAGGAGAAGGAAGGGGAGTTGGAAGAACGGAGGAGGGCGTTGGAGGAGGCGCTACAGATCGAGCAGGTGCGTTCTGGATCGGCGGAGGCGAAGGTGGGCAAGCTGCTGCAGCAGGTGGCGGCCTCACAGCAGGCGGAGTCGGTCCTTAAGATGCGGGTGGCAGAGAAGGACGCTCATAGTGCCGCCCTCGCTCGGGATCTGCAGGCTTGCCAGGCAGAGCTGGCGAGGAGTGGTGCTGAGAAGGCGAAGGAGGCAAAGGCAGCAGCTGCAGGGAGGGAGAAGGAGAGAGCACTGGAAGAACAGAGGAGGGCGTTGGAGGAGGCCGTAGAGGATAGGAAGGGCAAGCAGGTGGAGCTGGAGGAGAAGGTTCACGCGCTGGAGAAGGAGCAAGAGCTGCTGTGTGCTGCAGCAGAGCGAGGTGCAGATGAAGCAGCACAGCTGCGGGCAGAACTGGAAGCGGCACGAAGGAAAGTGAAGGGAGTGAAGGAGGCGAAGGCAAGGGCTGAGGGACTGGCAGCAGAGGTGAGTGGGAGGGAATGCTGAGGTGTGAGAGGGGCTGGTGAGGTGAGTGGGAGGGAGGAGCTGAGGGGAGTGGGCACCTGGATTATCAACTCCGCCACACCCATTTTTTTGGATAATCATATTTCTCCCCGCTTTTCCCCATCCAATCCCGCTCACCCCTGCCCTCGTTTCTGTTCCGGTTTTCTGTTCCTATCCGTCCACGTCCCCTTCCATGCCAAGCCCCCTGCTCTCTCCACTTCTCGTCCTCCACCGTGCTAGCATGACATGCAGGTCTCTCTTCTGTTGCACCCACCTCTTCTTCCCAACCCTAGTTGACTTGCCCCCTACCCACCCCCCACCCAGCGCCCCCTACCCTTGCCCCTGCACACTGCTTTCTTTTACAGCGATCAGCTGTATATCCCGCTGATGTGCATCCCTACTCTGTGTGCATGCAGACGCAGGAGCGGTGTGAAGCGGAGGAGGCGAAGGTCGGCGAGCTGCAGCAGCAGCTGGCGGCCTGTCAGCAGGCGGAAGCAGTGCGCACACGGGAGCTGCTGGCATGCCGGAGAGAGCTGGCGAGGAGCGCTGCTGAGAAGGAGAGAAGTGCTGCTGAAGCAGCACGGCTGCGGGTTGATATGGAGGGTCTCATGGTGGAGAAAGAGAGTGCTGTGGCAGCAGCAGCAGCAGCAGCAGCAGCAGAGGAGCAGGCGTCAGCACTAGCGGACGCTTTGGAGGCCGCAGCAGCACTCGCAGCTGCAGCGGCAGCACCAGCAGGAGATAGCTTGGACGGCAGAAGCGGGGAGAGCAACGACGAGGAAGAGGTATGAGCTTCTGGCCAGGGGTTGCTGTGGTGAGTGGGAGGGCTGCTGAGGTGAGTGGGAGGGCTGCTGAGGTGACATGCGCAGGGGCTGGTGTCGCTTTCATCACCTCCCACTCCTCTCCCTTCACCCCACTTCTCTTCCTTCTGCTCGCTTTCAAAATACTCCCCATGCCTCTTCCCCTTCCACCACCCCTTACTGCAGCAGATGTTGGGGAGGGTTTTGGTGGATGAAAATCGGCAGGTGGAGGCACAGTGGAATGAGGTTGAGACTACTGATGCTGCACCCACGGTCGCAGCAGCATATGGAGCAGTGCCAACTGCTGCAACCTCCGCCATCAGCAGCAGCTGGACCAGCCGCGGTTGGTAAAAAAGACAAAAAGGAAGTGCAAGGGGGGTGTACATGATGTGGAGGATTCCGAGGGGATTTGGTGGCAAGTTTGTGTCCGTGTAATGTACGACTCCACCAAGGGGACTGCGAAAAAAATCTATTGCAGAAAGTGGCCTAACAAAAAGCAAGCCCTCGTATGGTCTGCAATCACTCAGGTGGTTCACAGCGAGGAAGAGTATAGCGTGCTATGGAAATATGTGGTAGGTCTTCTAAAAGAGGAGGAGGTGGCCGCGCTGAGGGCTAATAAGGAAGTGGCTAAGGAATGGTGGGAGGAGGTCAAAGAAATGGGTGATCAGGAAGTGGAGAATTGGGGTACATTTCTGCCTCCCGAGCTCAAGATTCTGAAGAATGTGTGGGCTCGCAACTGGGGCGATGGAGGCAGGAGCAATGGACGCAGGAGCAATGGAGGCAGTAGCAATGGAGGCAGGAGCAATGGAGGCAGGAGCAATGGGGGCAGGAACAATGGAGGCAGTAGCAATGGAGGCAGGAGCAATTGAGGCAGTAGCAATGGAGGCAGTAGCAATGGAGGCAGGAGCAATGGAGGCAGGAGCAATGGGGGCAGGAACAATGGAGGCAGTAGCAATGGAGGCAGGAGCAATGGAGGCAGTAGCAATGGAGGCAGTAGCAATGGAGGCAGGAGCAATGGAGGCAGGAGCAATGGGGGCAGGAACAATGGAGGCAGTAGCAATGGAGGCAGGAGCAATGGGGGCAGGAACAATGGAGGCAGGAGCAATGGGGGCAGGAACAATGGAGGCAGGAGCAACAACTGAGGACCAGCGTTGGCAGCACCTCAAGACCTCATCCAGGCGCGGCAAGTGCAGTGCTTCACTGGCAGCACCACCAGTACCATCATGAGCACCGGCAACAGCAGCATCAGCAGCAGAACGATGGGCAGCATCAGCAGCGGCGGCAGCAGCAGCAGTGTGAGGGAGAATGTTGCTGCTGCTGTCTCTTTTTGTTGGGACGTTGCTCCTTCTGTTGCTGCTGCTGTCTCTTTTTGTTGGGACGTTGCTCCTTCTGTTGCTGCCTCTCGTATTTTTTTAGCTGCGTTGCTCTGTTGTTGCTGCCTTGCTCTTTCCCTTACTGCCATGGTGTTTAAAGATGGGACCCAGCTTATTCTGGACTATCTTAACTCTCTCAACTATCTCTTTCCTGGGCTGCTCTCAACTATCTCTTTCCTGGGCTGCTCTCAACTCTCTCGGAAATTTGGGACTGTCCTGCACTATCTTGAACTATTGTGGACTGTATTTGACTGACCTGCACTGTCTTGGCTTTCTCCTTCATTGCTACTCCACCCACGTTTTTTTTTTTTTTTTTTTTTTTTTTTTCTTGTTCATTGTTAATTCACCCACTGTTATGCTATTCTTTTCCTATATCCTGTTAACCCAACCACTATATTCTTTACTACCAGGTTTTTCTTGCAAGTTGCTACCCCACCCACTGTATAACTAACAACCATCCCTTCCCTCCTCCCCCTCCCCTCCCCTCCCATCCCATCCCATCCCATCCCATCCCATCCCATCCCATCCCATCCCATCCCATCCCATCCCATCCCATCCCATACCATCCCATCCCATCGCATCGCATCCCATCCCATCCCATCCCATCCCATCCCATCCTATCCCATCCCATCCCATCCTATCCCATCCCATCCCATATTATCCCATCTCATCCCACTCCACACCGTCCCACCCCACCTCACCCCATCCCATCCCAACCCATCTCACCCCATACCATCCCATGGCATTGCATCCCATCTCATCTCATCCCATTTCATCTCACCTTATTGCATCTCATCTGATCTCATCTCACCTCATCTCGTCATCCCTCATGTCCTCCTCAAACGTTTTCACTTCCCTCCCTGGCCAATCCCATGCAGACAGCTGCCATTCAATGAAGCCCAGCACATCATTGACTGTGATATCTTGTTTCACATGCACCAACACTGTTGCAACATACGCCTCTGCTGTTGTAACATCTTGTTCCCCAAGGACTGTAAATGTACCAGCCATACCAACCTGTTCCACCAGCCATGCCAGCCTGTTTCAACATCCATACAGCCTGTTTCAACATCCATACCAGCCTGTTGCAACACATGTTCCTACCTAACGCGCTTTCCATCTTACGCTTCTTTTGCGTGCAAAGAGCGACGGCGCATCGCCATCGGTTCTTATCGTGGGGGCATTGCGCTAGTTTGGGTGCATCTCATGCGGCAAGCGGGGCGGAACTTCCGCCGCCACATGCGGAACTTCCGCCGGCGATTCTGCGGAATTTTCGCCGAACCTGGCCCTCGCATTCTCTGCCCGTCCTCTCTACCATCTTTCCCACTATCCTATCCTCTCTTTCCGAGCATGTGCAGCTTGTTTCAGGGCGGAGCCGACTGCGGAAATGTGGATTAATGGCCGCTGGCATGGGTGCATTTCAACAGCTTCGTCGACAGCATCTAGACACAGTAAGTGTGATGTTGATGCTGGACACCTGCTGCACTTGTTGCTCAAGCTCATGTTGCCTTCTTTCCTTCTTTCCCCTTTGTTCTGTCCCCTCTTTCCACTCGTACACCAGTGTTTATTATAATTCTTTTTCATAATAAAACATCATGTCTTTTCACCACTCCCTGCATCTGCTAAACATGCAGCCTGCAGAGTTTGGAAGAGATCTGACGGCGGGTGTGCAAGTATGGGCTGGTTGCCAGTTGTTATTTAGGCTTGTTTGTTCATGTACTGTTTGCAGACGAGCTAAATAGTGTTGTCAGTTTGATAGAATCTACACTTGACAGTATTTCATACAGAGTATACTCTGGGGATCATGACTGTATGCGGATGTTTTTATAGTCCTACCGATTCGAATTTAATAAGAAAGCAATTGTAAATATTCAGTTCTTTCAAAACGGATGATCTTTAAATGAAACCTCAAATTAGTAATTGTTTCAAATTCACTGTACATTATATCACGGTTATTGTGCATCGATACATTTTTGGTGTGGAACAGTATTTATGAAAATAATCAAGTCTGATCGATATAATCACAACAGTGTGCAATCTGTGTCGGCACCACGATTATCAAATTCATTCCGTGTGTGCCGACAGCCAATCAGAAAGTACACGCGTATCCATTATCCGTTATCACATGGCGCTAGCTTGAGCCAGTCGCTTGCAACAAAGGCAGCCCACCAGAACGTTGCGAATTACCTGTTCCAGAGTTAGTTTTCGGGCGCCCATTTTAACGTTACCGCCCCTGTGGTTCTCACAAGCCGATCCATTCATTCACTAGCAGCGATATCTCTGCTTCTATCAGTCCAAACCCTTCTTTCGTTTCGGACAAAATGGCGCCCGATCGTCATAGCTCAGCGCAGGCAGCGCAGAAGGTAGCGAGGAAGGGCAAGAGAGCTCGGAATGCAGCGTGGAAGGCGAGGAAGGCGGAGAAGAAGCCGAAGAGGACGGCGGAGAGGACGGCCGAAGACGCCCTGGAGGAAGGGCTCGTGGAGGGGGCTGCTGAGGTGAGCGGCCACGGCTCGTACTTCCCTGATTTTCCTTTCTTTCTTCATTTCCAACTCAAAAGTCGAACTGCACCACTTATCTTCTCTAAATAGATCTCACTATCATATCATGTCATCGCGGAAAGGTCAAACGCAAAATTCTGGCTCCCGTAGGGTTTTCTACGGAAAAGCAAGCAGAAAGTCCCAGAAATCATACAAAACATCCCGGAGTCAATGTGACGGTAATGTCACACCCACGTAGGACAGATCTGGGACAAACAAGTCACGATTCAGCAACATTTCAGTGACGCGTTAGCGGCGAGCACGTCGAGTGGCCTGGTTGGACCCGAAAAAAACGAGTGGTTTAGAGCGTTTGAATGCGTTTGGAGCGTTTGAATCCAAAAAAGTGACATGATATGAGCGTTTGAATCACGTTTAAGTCACTTTCCTCCCGTGCCATTTCCGCGATGGTGCACAGCATGACACACTGACCTGGTTGCGCACGGCATGCAAGCATGCGCACGGCATGCAAGCATGCGCACGGCATGCAAGCGGCACATGCGGGTCGATGGGACCTATTATGCCCACCACCCTCGCCAGCAGCGTTTCCAGCAAGTCGTTTTGAAACAGCACCTGCATGGGAACAACCATGGCCAGACTGTTATAGTCACAATAGGCTTGAATGTGCCTAAAACGAAAGATAGAGAGCACAGACGGATTTCTGCACAGCGGCTTCAAACGTTGATAGCGTTCTGCTCACAGCTGCAAATGACCTGATTCAAATTGGATCTGGAGCGTCTTCACGTCGTCTACAATTAGCAATTTAGATTGCACGATTTAATAAAGAATTGACGACACAGCGTCGGTTTGAACGAACGGTACTATGGCAACCACTATAGTCTTAGAACACAAGATAGGAAGAGTTACGAGTTGGGAATGACTCCCAGCTCCTACAAACCCCAAGAGCCGAGGTACAGTGATGTGGAACAGTGCCACACTGTCCCCAACCACGAAGGGTCTCGAAACTACCCTTCACTAGGGCCTACACCAAGTGAAATGTTACACTACACAAAGTAATGTAAATATCTTCAATATCTTGAGGCGTACCCTTTTTGGCGAGCTTCGAAATCACTTGAGGCTTGACACCAAGGCTCGGGCTCTTCATCACAAACTCATCCTTGAGTTCTTGATGGGTCTGCTGCACACACATGCGACACGCCGAACGTTCGACACAGGACAAAATAGAAACCGCGCACGACACAATAGAAACCGCGCGCGAGACACAAACGACCGCGTAACACGCGTCTAGCGATAACTCGCTATTGACTCGACACACACACTCGACATCATGACTCAACATTCACACACAATTATAAGCATGAAATATATATTATCCCATGCCCTCATACCATTCCATACACACACACATTCACGCACACGGACAACAAGCCGAGTGCAAACCGTAGGGTTGCACCAACAAACTCCCCCTCGGATTGTTGGCCTT